TAATGTCCCATTTGGAATTCCGGGGTATATATATATATATACCCCGGAATTCCAAATGGGACATTAGAAATTTAAAAAAAAATCAAATTAAGAAATTAAGAAAAGGTCAACTGCCACCCCAAGACCGCGATATCAACCCTCAAGCACGTCTAGGCCCCGCGTACGAGGGGGTGAAAGTTTAGGCGGGAAAATCGTTAACTTGGGAACCAGAAAAGCTAGAAAACTGAAATTTTGGGATTATGTTCCCCGTCAATCTGGAACTCAAAAATTTTAAATTCAGCCCTGGGGGTACATGGCTCCCGCGTACGGCCCCGTGAGGGCTCCTGGCGCGAAAATCGCTAACTCGAGAACCAGAGAAGTTGGGAGGCTGAAACTTTCAGGAAATGTTCCTAACTTATCTACAACTTAAATTTATCAAATTCAGCCCCCCGTTACGTTGGTTGCCACGTACGGCCCAGTGAAAGTTTTTGGCGGGAACATGGCTGACTCCGGAACCAGGGAAGCTGGGAGTCTGAAACTTTCAGGAAATGTTCCCAACTCATCTGCAAATTAAACTTATCAAATTCAGCGCCCCGTTGTGCGTGGTTGTCACGCATAGCCCGTGAAAGTTTTTGGCGGGAAAATCGGTAACTCGGCAAGCAGGGAAAATGGAAGGCTGAAATTTTGCAGGGGTATTTCTAATCCTATGTACAACTTAATATTATCAAATTCAGCCTCAAGGTATGCGTGTATCCCACATGACGGCCTCTTAAATTTTTGGCGGAAAAACTGCTAGCCCTCACCATATCTTCAAGTAGCCTTGGGAACCGCCAAAGCATCCACGCCAAGCAATCATTCGGACCACGTAACCAACCGTTTCCCCCTCCTTCTGCAGTCCCGCCCCAGGGGACCGCACAGTAACCCCGCCTCCCTCTCCCCTCTCCCACCCCCCAAAAAAAAAAATCCCATCTGCCATATGCGGCGCCCTTTCTCGCTGTAAAGTAAGGCCCTTCAAAAAATCGTTCGATCCCCGTGTGAAGCAGGCCCAGCGCAGCCGATACGACTTTTATAGCATTGCCGTACAGTGGACGTAATGCAAAATTTATGCAAAATTGTGCTTGATTTCCTGCAATGGGTATGACGATAAAGCACATTACAGTTTATTCAGTTCGCTGGACAGGTCGGTTTGGCTCTTAGTTTGTTTCTCTTTCATT